CACACACACACACACACACACACACACACACACACACACACACACACCAACTGTCATCCATCTGTCCCATGAATGTGTTTGCAGCTACTCTATCTCTCCTCCAGGACACTTCTGTGGAACACCAATGAGACACTTGCAATAAATAAACTCTTCATCGAAATACGCTTAAATGGACATCTATTTCACACATGCACGCCAACACACAAGCATGCGCACACAAACAGTGCTGCACAGGAAGCTTATTCATACTCAGGAATACAAAATGAGATGCAGACAACTTGAAAAGACATACTGTGCCCCTTGGCTATCCCCTGTATCCCTGTAAACACATGAGTACAGTAGCAAATGCACTCACTTGGTTCAATCTCCACCAATTCAAGCTAATCTTGGCAGATATCAGTAGGGTGAATAAAATAAAGCGAGATGAAAAAAAATGGTTACCACTCATGTAACCTGCCTCTCTTCAAGCTTTTCACAGTTACTTACATGAAATATGGACAGAAATTTAGAGGCTTATACTCTGCTGTTACAATGCAATTAAGTTCAACTACTATGGCTTCAACAATATGAAGTATTTTTGTTGGGATATTAAAATTAAATAAAAATTTGAATTGAATGGCAGAATGTACGGCACAAACTCAAAAGACAAGTATAGACACTTGTTATGGAGACAGTTGTGTTGATGTTTGCCATTGTTCTGTTTTGATGATGAGCTAAATGATATAGGTAACAAAAAGATCCATCTCAGCAATGTTTATCTGAACAAAGAGTTTCTTCATCCACCGGGATATGTCATTAAAAAATGCAGAAACTCTAAGCCTGTGCTAAAAAGTATAAATGTAGAGCCAAGTGTCATCTGCATAGCATTGTTGCATAAAATCATGCAAATGAACGAATCAGTTCGTGGACATGGTGCTTATCACAGATAAATAGGGTCCCCATTGAGCCTTGGAGAATCCCTGACAGAAGGCGACTCGGGATGCAAGTTTTTTAATTTATTTGTTTGTTATAAAAGCTTAAAACAGCACCCAGTAATTCAAACTAATAATTCAAATCATACTTTAGATAAAAAGTATGATTTGGGCATATACAAGTATGAGGACATCTTTAGCATCTGAATGACAACCTCAGCTGGGGAAACAACACTGCCAGCCTGATCAAGAAAGCACATCAGAGACTCTATTTCCTCAGGCGGCTGATGTCAGCTGGTCTGGGAAGCTCAGTCCTCACCTCCTTCTAAAGGTGTGCAGAGGAGAGCATCCTGTGCTCCAGCATCAACGTGTGGCATGGAGGCTGCACAGCTGAAGAAAGAAAAACTTTGCAGAGAGTGGTGAAGGCTGCACAGAAGTCTTTTGCAGTCAACCCCCATCATCACAGACATCTACACCTCCAGATGCAGGAAGCGGTCCACCTGCATCA